TTTAAATGAGGAAACAATTAATTGGCTGTTCGTTGGTGAACTGAATCACATTCAGAAATCATTCTAATAATAGTGATGTACAGTAGATCAACTCAGATGTCGTTAGTTAATGAAATATAATTGAGACATTCTATTGGTCTTGAATAATCTACTTGTTGGAGAAATGTATTTACAAAGTGCAAAAAATGACTAATTATATGACAACCTTCTGTTTGAGACGGTAATTCAGTTACCAAAGATTAGATTATTTGCACATAACTTTTGATTGCTTGGTCGGATAAACAGAGATCGTGATCTGTTGAGGACATCGAATTATTTAGAATGTTAACTGAAATTTATTATCAGTTTGATAACGCTATTTATAATAAGTGTTGAGACATCCCTGTAGGTAATTCCAACATATTTCCCATTGACTCATGTAAACACACTTATTAGAATTGTTCAGTGGATGCCTGAGGTTATTTCAGATAATCATATCAAAGGACTATATGGAGATTACGATCTGAGTTTTAGAATAAGGTCGTGAGAAGTTGATAAGTAGACGCAAGTGAAATACTTTTAAAAATTACTTTTAATAACTTTTATTGAAGTATTTTGTTAGCATTACTCAAGTAAATAGGTAAACAGAACTCAATCCTCTTATTTCATCTACGTTATAATTTAATTAGAAAATTCTGAGTAGACACACACACACACGTTTAATCTTATATCACTTGCTTAATATAATACATTTATCTGAAATTTCTGATTATTGAAAGTACCCAATAATAATAATAATTTTACTTTTCCATACTTGTCATTATTAATTTACGTAACTCACATTTGATAATCGAATATAGTTTTACCATTTATTAATATCAGCTTAAAAAGTATCTATTAATGATCCATTTCGTTATAGTTTGTGAATTATCTACAGTTCACACTAACATTCATTTCCATAATAGAACTGTGAATATTTAGATCTTGCCATCAGTGTACAACCGATAGACACTAATTTGATACTTTATCGTTTACATTTTTAGTAGCATATGATCTATTATATTAGCACAATCATTATCCAGTGTAATATGAAATATGTATTTCATTGAACTTACCACATGCTTAGATTCAGATCATGCTCTAGTGCGAGCGCGTATCTGCCTGCGTTTCACTGGACGTAGGAAAGACGCTGCAAGGAAACCACTTAAGGGCCTACTTAATGATAGTCAAGCTAAGAGTATATTCCAGGAACAACTAGAAAAACAGTTAGGCAGCTATATATGTGATGCCCACTTCGAGGCAGCATGGAATGATATCCGAAAAGCTGTGGAAACAGCAGTGATATCTGCTAGTACGGTAACCCGTATGGTTAAGGAGAAACACTGGATCTCAGCAGCAACCAGCGCACTGATAGATGCTCAGAAACTCACTCCATCTGGCTCTGAACATAATGAAGAGCGGAGTCAGCTTAAGGGCAAGCTGACAAGAAGTCTACGCAATGATCGTGAACAGTGGTGGGTAGCGAACGCAAGAGAGATGGAGAAGGCAGCGGCAATAGGTAATAGCAGACAATTGTTCAGACTCGTTAAGGAAACCGACTGTTAGCGAAACACTCTCAGAGAAAGATGGACATATATTACACATTCTCAATCCAGAAGATTGGATCGATGAGCAGAACACTTCAGGAATAAGTTCAACTGGCCTTCAGCCATACCTCGGTTTCCCACGATCTCCAGTCAACCTGAATGGCAAGTTAATGTAGGTCCTCCAAATATTTACGAAGTTGAAGAATCTATTGGAAATCTGAAACGAGGGAGAGTAGCAGGCCCTGACAGATTTGCTCCTGAGATTTTTAAGGATGGTGGTCCAGTATTAGCAGTGAGATTAACTGAGGTCTTAGGTAGAATTTGAGATCTGGACGTAATCCCATCTGACTGGTCTCAATCACTGATTATGCCAGTTTATAAGAAAGGACAAAAGTCCTCTTGTGACAATCACAGAGGAATCAGTTTGACTAATATAGTGTCTAAAATATTAGCTTCAGTAATACTTCGACGCCTAACCAAAGCTCGTGAAGAGCAGACTATAGAAAATCAGGCTGGTTTTCGACCTGGACGTGGTTGTATAGATCAGATATTCACACTACGTCAGGTTCTAGAACACAGACACACGTTCAGACGACCCATAATGGTAGTATTTTTTGACCTTAAGGCGGCATTCGACTCTGTTGATCGTAAGGTTCTATGGCAGTGTTTGTCATTGAAAGGAGTACCAAACAAGTACATTAACCTTATACGTGCTCTCTACTCGAACACAACTGGTAGAGTGAGAGCTTATGGCGAACTGTCATCAGAATTGATCACCTCAAGTGGTGTTCGTCAGAGCTTCTCACTCTCTCCATTCTTGTTCAACTTCGTCATTGACGTACTTTTAGAGATAACACTTTCCTCATCTAAATTTACAGGGGTTGAACTTTACTAGGAAATTCACCTGTTGACTTAGAATATGGTGATGGCATAGTTTTATTTGGTGAAGACGCTGACAAAATGCAGAGTCTTCTGACCAATCTAAGCAACAATGCAAGCATGTTCGGGATGCGGTTCTCCCCCTCGAAATGCAAAATGTTGCTTCAGGATTGGGTTGCATTGACACCTGAACTAATGATAGGGAGTAAAGTAATTGAGCGTGTCGATCGCTTCACTTATCTCGGAAGTCTCATCAGCCCTTGTGGTCTGGTGTGTGACGAAATCTCAGCACGAACACAGAAGGCTCGACTAGCTTTTACCAACTTGCATCATTTATGGCGTAGGCGAGATATTCGTCTATCAACCAAAGGACATGTTTCCTGCTCAGCAGTTCGTTCCGTCCTACTTTATGGCAGTGAAACATGGCCGGTAAGAGTAGAGGATATCCGTAGGTTACTACTATTTGATCATAATTGTCTTCGAAATATTGCTCGTATATCCTGGGACCACGGATTAAGTAACTCAGTTGTTAGGAAACGGGTACTAGGTAAGGATGGTAAATCAATTGATGACGTGGTGAAACTTTATCAGTTGAGATGGCTGGGACATGTGTTACGTATGTTCAACAACCGACTGCCTCGACGTTCGATGTTTAGTGGTATAGGAGTAGATTGGAAGAAAGCTAAGGGCGACCAGACCAAAACATGCCACAAGTTCACGAAGTCACAGACAAATGAACTGAGTCATGTTAGTAGGTGTAGACTACCTGGTTGGGGACCGCGAGATGATAGCAACCGATGGTTAGAGACCCTGAATGACATGGCTCAAAATCGTTTGCGATGGCGCAGGTGCATACACTATTTGTGTTCTCCCAAATTTTGATATCCTTATTCGTCCTTGTCTCTTTTTATTTCTCTTCCCAAATTTATTTCACTGTATTATACTCGTTAAATAACATCTCCAAACACTGATTTTCCTGATTACTGCTTATACTTTTATTACCTTTACCACTACGAGATTTGAATCGACTACTGTATCTCTGTGCTAATGTGGTGTGGCAACTCGAACTGATGTACGTACGAAGTTCGATGTTGTTACTGACTGACTGACTTTCCATGTTTGTTTTTAAAACGATTAGAAGATTCGATGATAATATAATCATTTAAGATGAACATTTCTATCTACTTACAAGTTATGTTTAAGAAAAGCATAATTTGTCAAAATTAACGTCGTTTTATGTTGAATAATGTACAAAATCCATGAAGTTTTGACGCTTTATAACAAAACCACCGATTGTGTCAATAAAATCGATTAGTTCTTTTTTAAGTAAATATATCAGGGATCATTTGATTTTTCGAATAACATTTTTCTATATATATTACATACAACATTGAGATATTTTAAGTATATTTAATTACTTTACTTATGCATGTTACCTCCCCCCCCCAATAGAGAATAGGCTGCCGATCGGCATTCTCCAACTCACACTGTCCTGGGAATTCCTCCTTAGATCTATACAATTATTGTTCATTTTTCTCTTGTCTGTCTCCACCTGGAGCCACTCTGAGGTTACTGCTGGGCCAAAGCACGGACAAAAGAGGAGGATTGGGCATAGGGTTAGCGACCTCGTATAGCAGAAAACGAACTATCTAAAAAATACAAACCAGAAAAAGTGATTCAAACCATTTTAACCCTGCCTTGGAGGTCAGAAGGTTTTCATTTAGAAGAGTTATGACGTCTCATGATGAAAACCGAGTTCCTTCGGAAGTCACAAGGCTGATGCCCATTCTGACAACTAAAGCAACCAATAATTTAGGTACATGGAACGTTCGTACAATGTAGGAGACCGGGAGAGTCATCAAAGTTGCTACAGAAATGAAAAGATGCAACCTTGAGGTGCTTGGAATCATTGAAACACATGGGACGCAGGTTGGACGACCAAGACAAAATTCAGAGCCATGAGGAAGAAAATGCTTCACATACACAAGGAATTGCACTGATGCTTTCCAAACAAGCACAAAAAGCACTTATAGGACGGGAACTTCATGGATCCAGGGTCATCAAAACTTCCTTCAAAACAAAGAAAGAAGGGGTTACAATGAACGTCATCCAATGCTATGCGCCTTAACTATATTTTTCTCTTCTTATTATTATTATTCTGGTTTTGATAGGTTTCTTGACAGAAATCTACAAGTTACGTTAAATGAGTCAACAGGAAGTTTACACACAGATGATGCGTAGTTTATGTGATCAGACTAATAAATAAAAATACAGTTTAACAGCCCATTTGTGCTTTTATTTATTATGTTTATGATTACTAATTCTTGAATATGAATTTCAAAGGATGCACTTAATTTTTTAATGAGTTTATTGTTGCTTTTACCTAACAAAAACAGAAAACTTAATGATTATTTCATTCTAAATATAGTAATAATTGGATTTTTGAAAGTACATAATGAGTGGTTGATTGTGTTTTTTTTAGATTGATGTATGTCAGAAATGATTATCAAAAGAAATCTATGCGGTTAAGTGAACTTGTCAGTTTGGTAAAAATAGCGAAAAAATTTAGTACATAAAAAAGTCAAAAAACGTTTATCATCATCATCATCATCATCATCATCATCATCATCATCATCATCATCATCATCATCATCATCATCATCATCATCATCATCATCATCATCATCATCATCATCATCATCATCATCATCATCATCATCATCATCATCATCATCATCATCATCATCATCATCATCATCATCATCATCATCATCATCATCATCATCATCATCATCATCATCATCATCATCATCATCATCATCATCATCATCATCATCATCATCATCATCATCATCATCATCATCATCATCATCATCATCATCATCATCATCATCATCATCATCATCATCATCATCATCATCATCATCATCATCATCATCATCATCATCATCATCATCATCATCATCATCATCATCATCATCATCATCATCATCATCATCATCATCATCATCATCATCATCATCATCATCATCATCATCATCATCATCATCATCATCATCATCATCATCATCATCATCATCATCATCATCATCATCATCATCATCATCATCATCATCATCATCATCATCATCATCATCATCATCATCATCATCATCATCATCATCATCATCATCATCATCATCATCATCATCATCATCATCATCATCATCATCATCATCATCATCATCATCATCATCATCATCATCATCATCATCATCATCATCATCATCATCATCATCATCATCATCATCATCATCATCATCATCATCATCATCATCATCATCATCATCATCATCATCATCATCATCATCATCATCATCATCATCATCATCATCATCATCATCATCATCATCATCATCATCATCATCATCATCATCATCATCATCATCATCATCATCATCATCATCATCATCATCATCATCATCATCATCATCATCATCATCATCATCATCATCATCATCATCATCATCATCATCATCATCATCATCATCATCATCATCATCATCATCATCATCATCATCATCATCATCATCATCATCATCATCATCATCATCATCATCATCATCATCATCATCATCATCATCATCATCATCATCATCATCATCATCATCATCATCATCATCATCATCATCATCATCATCATCATCATCATCATCATCATCATCATCATCATCATCATCATCATCATCATCATCATCATCATCATCATCATCATCATCATCATCATCATCATCATCATCATCATCATCATCATCATCATCATCATCATCATCATCATCATCATCATCATCATCATCATCATCATCATCATCATCATCATCATCATCATCATCATCATCATCATCATCATCATCATCATCATCATCATCATCATCATCATCATCATCATCATCATCATCATCATCATCATCATCATCATCATCATCATCATCATCATCATCATCATCATCATCATCATCATCATCATCATCATCATCATCATCATCATCATCATCATCATCATCATCATCATCATCATCATCATCATCATCATCATCATCATCATCATCATCATCATCATCATCATCATCATCATCATCATCATCATCATCATCATCATTTGACATTTGACAATGTCTCAGTATAATCAAACGGTGAGATAAATCAGAATACTTATTGAAATAAGTCAATATATACTTCAGATAATTCACAATATGTTTGCATTTCAACAATACTTCAATTTATTTTGTCTAAAGATATCAAGTGAAATGGCATATAATCCGTTCTTGCATTACATGCTTAGTATCTACGAAATCAATAAAAGATTCGTTTATAAATGGTTTTCATCAGGAGTTGACATTTGGAAGCAGAGAATATTGAATGACCATTTCATTTAGATTTATGTCCATTACCCACAGACGTTATTTATGTTTCTAACTGGAGTTAATCAACTTATCAGGACTCTTAAATATCTAGTGATCCTTTTCCAGTTGATGGAAGACATTAATGAAAATAATCTCATGAAAAGAGTTTCGTGAATTACCTAATTCAAGAAACTAATTGTTAAAATATAAGTTTTAGTAGATTCCACTTGTTTTTTGATGAGTTATTGGTGAACTTCTTTTAATTTTATCTACTGATCTAACAGGGGTCTAATAAAGCCTTTTTAATCAGTGTTTAACAGTTATTCTGGATAAAAAATTTTATCTAAGAGAATTAAGTCAAAAATCAGCTGGTCAGTAATATATATATATATATATATATATATATATATATATATATATATATATATATATATATATATATATATATATATATATAGGTGGAAAGTCCGACTTACACTTCCGCTTAGTGCCCCCTGGTTATTGGGTGATCTTTCTTCCCATAAACTAGCACAAGCGGCACATAGACCTAAATGACCACGAACTGTTCATATGTCAAGTGAAAATAGGGTTAATCACCCACTCTGTCTTAATTCTGGTTACAAGAAGTGGGATGTTAACTTTGGATTAAGAGTGCGATTGTGGCGCTGGACAAAACTCCTTCTTGGTGCCTGAACGGACATTGTCTGGAAGGGTTCATAAGGTCTGGCAGTAGAGGGCCGAATTGTAGGCCATAAACTGTGCTGTAAAAAGTGTACAGGGATTGACATTGAACCTGCTTTTGGTGTGAGCGTGTAGTTAGTACATCATCTATGATGACTTATTAATATACTGATTTGAGTACTCGATACTCTTTCAGTAAAAACATTGCTGGGATACGGCCTGTGGTGATCGGATCAGTACCTATATGTATCCTTTGGAGAGCATGCACCTCGGATTATGCTTTCTACATGTGCATATATCACATACTCGCGAGCGAAAACTTCTATGTCTTTGTGTACTTGTGGAATGAGTGGATTTGTCTGAGCATTCTAAAATTGCATGTAACTCATAATAGCTACCGCGCTCATCTATTCCTATACGTATATCACTGGAATGTACGTATCTTTAATATCTGCACTTGAATATATGCATATACAGCATACTTTGGGAAAGTTCCATGTTTCTCCACTTGTGAACTCATTAATGGCTCATCAGCGCTAGGTAGTGCTGGCTAGGTTGATCTCGCCACACTACTGATATTATAATTCCTAAATACACATTAAAAAATGAACTAAAATGAATACTTTTACTTTGCTTTCTTCAGTGTCCAGTCGCACTTTCTTCGTAGGGTTCTTTTTTCTGAAGGGCCATAGGCTTCCCCTACAATGTTTGATGGGCATAACTAACTTATATGTATAATTTACTCTGAAGTCAAAAAAACTGGTGGTTTATTAATTATCATCTCTTGTTTCATTTTCAGCTAAATATTGGTTAGAAAACCAATGTTTACCAGCTTTTTACTCACCTAATATGAATCAATTTAGATAATGATAAAAATTTTTTGGTTAAGAATCACACTCAATAAAAGGTGACTAAACATGTGCTTTGTTTTTAGATTATAACCAATTATACTACTGGGTCATTCAAACCAATTTTAAGTCTACCTGCCTGTTACGTCATGTAGGCTGACTGATATAACACTAGACTTGTTACATTAAAACATAAGTCTCAAAGCTTAATACAATTCAAGATTTTATCTTTAAGTCATGTTAAGATATGAAATACAATTTATAACTGATTGTATTCTGGTGTATGCTACTTAGGTTGACAGACATAAGTAGTATGTAACACCAATCCGAAGTGAAAAACCTGCCAGCAGAAGGCTAAGAAGATCAAGTTGAAGTGAAAATAGAAAATAATTGTGACTTGTAAAAATCATACAGAATGTGAAGGACAAATGTTGGAAATTTTCAAATAAAGTATTCGATGTATGTTTCTCATATTTTACTAATACATTCTGTACATTCGTGTAAGATTATAAATTGGTTGTCCCCAACTGAGTTCTCAACGACTACAGTATTATTAAAGGATAATAACATAAATTTCAAACTATCTTGTTCTCCGTTCCAGGCATCTTTGCTCACTCTACTCTTTACGTTTTTCTGTAGTTCAAAGTACCTTCAGGCATGACTTGAGGTGCCGTAGATTAAAGTCAGATAATTAAATGATAGAAAATATTTTGATTCAAATAAAATAACACTATTATTATTGCTGATAAATAATGAATATATTTTTTTAATTTGTTTATTCAATACGGTGAATACAGTATTTCTTGATAGTTATATGTGTATGTTATATCAGCTACCAGTTAACCTAAAAGAAGTTATTTCTAACCAATTCATCAGAAAGTATGTAATACGGTTCAAATTCAGGTAAATTAGCTTGATTAAGTTCAGAATTATTGAGTGTACACTTTGAATATATACGTTATGCTTAATGTGAAATGGTTGAAGGCAGTCAGAGGGAATGCCTGGATTTAGGTTTCGTGTTAATTACCGTTCATCAGTAAGAAGTATTTACAGTCTTTGGTGAACTGGTATTCCCCATGGGATTTTGAGTTGCATTATTACTAAGCGACTAATTAATATAAGCATCTCATTTCTATTAGCTGTTATTATTGAGGTAAATAATTTATTTGTAACATCTAGGATATTGACCGTGGGTAATATAAATCAGTATTCCATAACGAACACTAGTTTCCAGTGAATCGCATTTACATCTTGTTATCGAGTGGTAACCACTATAAAACTTAGGTCCTAAACTTCTTGTTAGCAGCTTAAACTAAATAATACCAAACAAAGTTTACTGAGCTGTCTAGTGACTTAACTTAGTACCCGCTTTCCAAATTGGTAAACGGGATTTGATTAAGATTATGGACCAGGCAGTATGATAGTAGCTATTTCTTAAAGGTCAATTATTTAAAATATTTTTCCCTTAATTATAGAGACTGTTGTCAAATTGTTTTACTCTTCAAGAAAAAAATGTATAAAATAATCGCACATTATTAACCAAGAACGAAACTAAGTTATTAATATTGATTATGTTTGCAGAATTGGATACTGATATTGTAGTGAACAAGAACACGAGTGGGGACAATCGAATGTATTTGACACGAAATTACAGAGCATCTCGATAAAATCTGAGAACCATATAGTAAATCGTTAATTTTCCAAATATCAATTCATCATCTCAAATTTGACTGTTTCTGTTGCAGAAATCAATCTATTGTCTCAGATTTCATTGTTCATGCGTTTTCATACCAATTGCGCTCCGTTTCCGTTCTTTCCTCATCGACCTTCCACTGAAATACATTCTATGTCTGACCACCGCTATATACTACATGTTTGGATATAAATAACCCACACCACAATATGAAAATGCAATAAATAACACAATCTTACATGTTGTATTTATCATACTCTAAACTTTTTAAAATAAAATCTTAAAAGGAAGGAGTAACAGAAATAAAATGTGAATTCAAGAATTTTTTTTATCAATGCAGTGTCATATTGTTTAGCAAATTAATGTTGTTAAACAAGTCATCAATGCTTTACGGAGGTATACTATATGACTTCTTCATATGAGTTTAAATTGAAAACATTATTTAAATGGTATATATTTTGTTTTAAATTTCATTCATCATACAAAACGTCAACTAGATAGATATTATGTACTTTAAATCTTTGAAACAAATGACGAAAAAAAACAGGTCATGGATTGAGTTACATATAATTTGGATATACTGAAGATTCTTTTTTAAAGTAGCAACTATTATGAGTTATTCAGCAGTTAACATTGTATAGTTTACTTCACTTATAAAAAAAATCAATCACTGTTATATAAGATTGCGCATATGAAGTAATAAATTGTAAAGTATGTATCCTAGATGTTTATAGATTTATTAACTTCCGCTAATTAATTTCCATGTGACATCAGTTCAATGAAGTTGACTAACTATTTGTAGAAAATACTTCTTGTCATATCCTATAAGTCAGTTCTATGATTATCATGATAATTTGATAATACAAGTCTATAATTAAAGATGGGTTACTGAATACATAGAAATGTACTATTTAGTTCGAAAATAATACTGTAAAATTTAACATTTGATAAAATGGATGTTTCTGATGATTTGACCGTTAGAAAGATATAACATTGTATACCATTAGGAGAAAAAAAACATAAATCAAATATAGTCTAAAAGAATGGCCTAGTGGATAAATGGTGACTTAAAGATTTCACAATGAATTTTGATAAAAATCTAATTTGTTGACATTAGTTTATCACATGATACAAACAAATAATAACAAGATCTTAGTTTTGTACTATCAAAGATAAAGATTTTTGAATTCACAGGTTTATGTAAAGACGCGTTTTGTTTGCGTTTTTTGTACTTATCAGGGTTTTTTTTCGTTGTTGATAAAAACAAAAGCAATTAGAGTCTTCATAATGATGGCAGCTGATATAGAATTGCACAGGAATATGATTCTCAAGATGGTTAATTATGGTAAACTTCTATTGAAATTGATTCATCTTTCGTAAATCCATTTCATTTTATAAGCATAATTTCTTTGCATTCAAATATTACCTCCCAATACATCAGTTAGTTTACTGCACAGTTGACTACTGATTTATTGTCATTTTTTTGAAAAGGTATCAAATCACAATTAAGTTTTTTGATTCAGATCATGAATCGTTAGGGCCGGC